CCCTCCACTCTTCCTTTTCTCTGCTTCCCCTCACCTCCACCCCAGGGGAATAAAAACAGTTGGCGGCGGCAGTAGCAGCAGTGTGCGTGCGTGTGTGCGCTCGTGCCCAGTGGTGATAGACAGGAGATTACATCATGCGGGTGTGGACGCGTGCGCCCCTGCTACCCCCTCTCTACCTCACCTCCCCTTCTGGAGCGCTGTGCCGTGTAGCGAGCCTTTTTTGCAACGCTGTTACTCCTGCTGCAGCAGCAGAAGACGCCCCTCTCCTACCCCACGCCTCTGCTTCTTTCTGATGGAATGGGAGGGGGTGCGGGGAGTGATGGACTAGGTTGGGCTGTGCCAGGCTGGAAAACGGAGGGTGGTGGCGTGTGCACGCGTGTACACACACGTACCCCTCTGTATGGGGAAGCAATTTAAACATGCCTCTCCCACCTCTTTCCCCCCGCGTTCCTTCTCTCACCCACTAGCCGCGCCGTCTGGTAGTGGTGGTGGTAAATCAATTCTCCCCGTTTTACTAAAAGCCAGTTCTCCATCTCTGTGTGCATTTGAAAGAGAATTATGAAGACGGCACCTCATTTTTTTTTATTTTGTAAACAATCCACGATCCTTTTTACTTCACCTCATTTCTGGGAGCCAGGTCATTCCTTTTCCTACCTGCGGAGCTTTCATTTATGCCTATTCTTGCTTCTAGACCGTATTCTTACGTCTATGTGGAGGGCCAACCACCTGCACCCATCACTCTACCCCCGGAGGCCTGCTCAGGTCCGGGCATTCCACATTCTACCAAGGTCATCCAGACTATTGAACACGGTGAAGTTGTTTGCGCGGTGATGATAAACAGCTCCACCCGGCATATCTACACAGGCGGCAAGGGCACTGTAAAGTTGTGGGATCTAGCTGCGGCTACCGCTGAAGGCGCTCCAACCGTATCAAAGACCGCCCTTGCTACTATGGACTGTCTCCAGGGTGGAAACTACATCCGATCTATTAAGATGGGCCAAGTAAGCTGACATTTTTCGGGTATCAGGATCTCTAACTAGATTATATTGGTATCATTAATCTTTTTTATTGTAGGATGGGAATCTGCTGGTCGTTGGTGGAGAATCCAACGTAGTGAGTATTTGGGACATGGGAGGTCCAACACCACGACCAAAGGGGGAGATAGATATTGGTGTACAGGCATGCTATGCTGTGGCGGTTTCCAATGACAGCAAGCTCTGTTATTTTTGTCAGTCAGATGGTGTGATTTCAGTATGGGATCTGCACAACCAGAGCCAGATTCGACGATTACAGGGCCACGGAGACGGCGCATCGTGCGTAGACTTGAGTGCGACCTGCGCTCAACTCTGGACGGGTGGATTGGACAAGACGGTGCGCAGTTGGGACATCCGTGAGATGCATCATCAAATGGCCCAGTTCAACTTTAACTCTCAAATTTTCTCTCTGGCCAAGTCACCGACGGAGGAATGGGTGGCCGCGGGTATGGAGTCGGATGAGATTGAGCTGTTTGCACCGAGCCGAGTGGATCGGTACCGATTGCGGATGCACGAGAGCTGTGTGTTATCGTTGAAGTTTGCCCATTCGGGTGCTTGGTTCGCCTCCACGGGTAAGGACTCCTGGCTCAACGCCTGGCGACCTCCGTGGGGCGCTAATCTGTTCAGAGTGAAAGAGAGTCTCTCTGTACTGAGCTGCGACATATCGGCGGACGATCGGCATTTAGTCACAGGCAGTGGCGATAGGAGGGCTTCTATTTACGAAATTACCTACTGAATAGTGTCTATCCTCTACTTGTCAATCCCTTCCTCCCTCCTTACATCCCACTTGTACAGACGTCTCTGTGGCCACTTCAATTTCACTTTCTATCTGTCATCATTCCCCCTTGTATACACCCACGCACATGCACACAAGTCTGCTTTAACGAGTCCCCATCATTATTGAACATTTTAAACCGTATACACAAGCATATACATATGTATTCTTATAGTAAACTGTATGCGTTATTAGTAAAGTTCACATACACACATGCTGCATCAAATATTTCCAGTCGTTTTTTGAATAAATTTTAAGTAAGACCTCTGCTGTTGTCTACTCCCGGGCTGTTGCTGGTACCATATCGGTGGAATCGGGCTCTTGATATTCAGATTAGCAGACAATTCGAATTTCATTCATATGCACTGCTTTGGAATACATCGGAGTCGTGTATAGTCATGCTTCCGTGAATGCTTATCTATTTTATGACTGCCCACCTGCAGTTGTGGGCAAAAGTTGGTTGGAATTGCAGGAATTCTTAACATCAATTGGAAGCTGTAGATGCGGAAATCCACCCAAATCGGGGCCACCCTCTAACGATACTCAGTAGAGTGAACCTAGCCACTGCTGCATTAAAAATTTGCCCGAAAAGCGGGTACTCACTTGGTATCATATCTCCAATTAAAAATTCATACAGCCGAAATTGGAAGTGAGACGAGATACCAAAGGCGCAATCAGATACTCAAGATGAAATGCAACCCTGGGAAGTCCCCGCAACCTTCGAATGCGTAGATTTGCGTTCTCCGAAATTAATCAAGCAATTTTGGCAAGACTGCCCAATCGGGGATGCGATTTACACAGTAGGACCATGCGCTGATAGGATGGAAGTTTAATAATAAAAACCAATAAATATGGCACAGGAGAAGAAGGAGCGTATAAAGGGAATGATTTGTCACTTTCTTGCCCGATTTCGACCTTTCCGGAACGAGCCTGCGTCTGAAAATTCACCACCTTTGTTACTACCGCCATACCCATGCCCTAAGGCAGACTTGCCACCGGCATGCTTCCTCGGAACGCCCACCAGTGGATGAACCTAGCGAGTGAATACAGCATAATACAATAGTTTAACTACTGGAATGATTAATAGTAGAATGTTTCACCCACCTCATCAACAGGTGCATCAGGAAGGTCGATGGTGTAAGTTTGAGAGGGTTGAGATGGCGCAATCTTTTCAGCCATCTTTGGGCGTTTCGAGGTAGTAGGAGAGGCTCCAGAGGAATTCTGTACTTCTACCGAGGCGCTTGATTGGTCCTCCCCACCAGACAGTTCGTCGGGATTATCGACTTCGGGGGAAATCGAAAGGAACATCAGAATGTCCTCGGGCTCCTTCTCCTCATCACTGAATCACAATTCAATGCTGTTGATTCAACAATCACTGCTGGATTTGACGTTACCAAAAAGACCCAAATGACAGAGGTCCCGAAAAAAAGTAGCTAAAGAACCGGAGAAACACGATTTGAAAGAACTGGACTAACCTGCTTAGTAAGGCAGCGACTGGTTCAACCGTTTCAACGTCCACTATAATATCCTGTTCAACGTCATCTAGTCAAATAAAAAAAGCAAAGTAGCGAGACTGGAGGGTACAATTAGGTGGAAAAGATACCCAAGAAACAAA